TATAATTATGCAAATTTTATAGTGAGCCTCTGAGTGCTGGGAGAAAAATATGTAACCTGCATATACTTTCTACATTATTATATATTTGATAGATCTCTACTAGTAAAAACTTATGTATGCAGCAGGGGATGGGTGACCATAGAAGCTATCTGCTGTCCTTCAAACAAGATTAGCTTTGTTGACACTGACAATGGAAATTTAGCTCATAGTTATAAGATGCCACTTCTTAAGTTCTGTATAGTTAGTCAATTTAACTTTATCCTTCATTAGAATTGCTTAGTTATAAAAAAGTTAATGCCTATCTGTGAGAAAGTGTTCCTTGTTATCCTTAGTAATTAGAAGATTAAATTGTTACCATTAGAGCAATGTAAAGTGGACCCAATAATATGTAGGTTGTATTAAAAGGCTTGTTTAACTTAACGGCTTTGAAATGATATCTTTTTGTCATTGCTATTTTCACTCTTTGTCCAAAAGGAGTAAGATCCCTTTCACTGGACAAGATTGTTGCAAATGTGGCTTTGAGCAAATATCCTGTGTATGTTTTCTAATTTAGTTTTATTTTAATATTGAGTGTTCTTTGTTTCAAGGTTTGTTGAGGATGGAGTAAATTTTTCCATTAACTCAGATGATCCACTTGTTTGCCAAACAAGAGTGGACCTTGAACAAGGCGTTGCTTTTAATAAAATTGGACTGACCCCTGCAGAATTAACCCAAGCGGTATGTTATGTTGTCTCTTTCTTGGCTTTTGCAATGCAAAGCTGCGTGATAGTTAAGCTACTCTTTCACAAAACAGAGCACTGGAGTTTAGATTAGGATGTTTGGGTGCAATGAAGCCCTACCCTGCACTGAAACTAAAACTAAAACCAATTACAACTAGGTCATATATGTTTTCCTGCATTTTGCGCAAGTTATTTTGTTTTTATGTGCGTACATGTAAGTAGGTATTAAGTGAATTTCATTGGCTTTTTAAAGGTATCTTCCTTTCTTCTAATTGGCCATTTAGATTACTTTGGTTTTGGTTTTACGACATTCAGTCCAGTCCAAATGCTTCATACAATAAAAATAATTTGAATATTAGCTTATGGCAAGCTCATGTTCAGTGGAAAAAAAATGGGCAGGCAGGAATGAGCAGGCAATACATGTACGTGAAATGCACCCTTGCTTTCTGGGCAGAGTATAAATGTGTGCAAAATGCACCCTGGCTTGTTAGACAGAATAGACATGAATGCAAAATGGACCCTGAGTTGCTGGGTGGAATATACATTTATGCAAAATGCACCCTGGCTTCTTAAGCAGTAGTTAAATGTATGCAAAATGCACCCTGGCTTGCTGGGCAGAATATACATATATGCAAAAAGGACCCTGAGTTGCTGGGTGGAATAAACATGTACAAAGTGCATCCTGGCTTGTTGGGCAGAATATATACATGTATGTGAAATGCATCCTGGCTTGCTGGGCAGAATATACTTAGATGCAAAATGCATCCTGGCTCGCTGGGCAAATTATACATTTATGCTAAATGCACCCTAGCTTGCTGGGCAGAATTGGGCAGAATATACATTGATGCAAAATGTATTCTGGTTTGCTGTGCAGATTATGCATGTATGCAAAATGCACCCTAGCTTGCTGGGCAGAATATACAGGTATGTAAAATGCTCCCTAGACTGCCAGGTGGAATATACATGTACAGTGTAAAATGCATCCTGGCTTGCTGGGCAGAATGTACATGTATGTGAAATGCATCCTGGCTTGCTAGGAGGAATGTGTATTGATGCAAAATGCATCCTGGCTTGCTGGACAGATTATATATGTATGCAAAATGCACCCTAGCCAGCTGGGTGGAATATACATGTATGTGAAATGCATCCTGGCTTGCTGGGCAGAATATACATGTATGTGAAATACATCCTGGCCTGCTGGCCAGATTATATGTGTATGCAAAATGCACACTAGCTTGCTGGGCAGAATATGCATGTATGCAAAATGCACTCTAGCCTGCTGGGTGGAATGTACATGCATGTAGAATGCACCCTAGCTTGCTCATAACATGTTTTGCCACACTTGCCATTAGTTTTTTAACTTATTTTTCTTCCTAAGAAGTGTGTTGATATAACAAAGAGGCGCATACATGCTATCATTGTGTTTTTCAGACATTTAATGCTGCAAGATCTGCATTTCTTCCGGAAAATGAGAAGCACAACCTTATTAAGCAACTGAAATTAGTCCATGGAATATATTGATCCTTTAATTAACACAAATCAATGATGATTAGCTGATATGACAATACATGTGGGGTTATTGTCGAAATTAGTCTTTGGAATAGATTGATCCTTTAATTAACACAAATCAATAATGATTACTATAGTTGATATAACAATATATGTGGGGTTATTATCCAAGCACGAGGTCAAGATGAGGAGACATTGACAAAGTTTTTTTTCCCCCATTTTTTCTCAGTCCATGAAAACACACACAAAGAGGTTAATATCCAGTCTTCTTGGCCAAACAAGCACTAGGAACCAATTCTTCTGTTTCCTATTTTTCCAGTTTCTGAACATCTCTATATCATGAAATCCAAGCATGTGAATCTCTCTTTTTTTTGTCATTCATTTTGTCTGGAGCAGAACTTGCCAATTGAGATTGTTGGATATGTTAGGATCTAGTCTTATTGGGAAATGTGCCATCCATTTCCTTGCATTTGATGTAAAATTTTTGAAGATGTTATTAGCAAAGAGATTAACCTAATATTTATATTTTTTTCTAGAAAGGGTTAGGTGGGTTATGGGTTGTTTACTTCAAAATTCAGAAAGCTGGCTGATTTCTGAAATGCTCACGAATTATAGATAAAAAATATTTTACCTCGGAAATTTATTTTAATCTCAAACAAAAAAAAAACATGTAAGAAAAAGTGTTTTAGTTGTTGTTAGTTTTGAAATTCTCACTATCATTATTTATATTACTGTTGTAAATGTAGTAATTGAGCTCATATTAAAAAGAAATAAATCTCTTTCCTCTAAATTGAAGAATGTTTCCTTCTTTAATCCCCAGATCATTTTGTTTTTGCAATAGTGTTTTCATACAAAAAAAGCTCAATCAAGGAGAAAAAGTCCAGTACGAATTTGTTAGCATATATATATGTAAAACTACCTGCTGGCTATAAGCCCAGCAGACAAACAATTTCAACAGTATCTAGCCATGCTGAAAGCAAAAGAACAGTGTTGAATTCAACTTGAAAACTGTGTTGCTAACAGATGTTGGTGTTGAAATGGTTCAGTTGTGAGAGACAGGGGTTCTTGCAGATTAAAGCCAGTGGTTACTAGTTTGTAATACTGAGCAAATATTCAAGAAAGTGAAAATCAATCTCAAGCACCGAGCCACTAAAAAACTTTCATGCAGAAAGGTAAACTACAACTTATTTCCCAGCTGCTGTAGCTTTTACTATTTTATATTAACTATTTTGGTGGCCTTATGGTCAGCTGTGCAGACCTGGTTATTGTGTTATGTTCTTGAGCAAAATACTTTATGCTCACGATCCCTCTCTCCTCCCAAAGGTGCATGTGGGTACAGTTGAATTGTCAGGGAGACCTGGTGGGCAACTTTGCAATGAACTGGTACAACCATACAGGGTGGAGTAGGCCAGCCTATGCAGCATTGGCCACTTAGCTCAGGTATAAACTTCACTTATATTTGCTTTTATTACTAATTCCATTGTCCAAATCAGTACTCCATTTGGGTAAAGAAAGTAATATTTAATCCAACTGTCAGACAAATGACCATTTAAGACCTCTAGTGAAAACAACTGGTGTACCTGAGCTATCTTAACAACCACTTTACTACGTTTACAAACAAAGCCCACGTTATATTAAAGACTCTTCAAGTTGATGTATTTACATTACGAAATGCATAAACGAATGAAACGCCGTAAAAATATACCGTTACAACTTGCATTACCACATAAACATAATTATTTATTTACTGTATAAAATGATTTCCTTTGACACAAAATCCCAAAAACAAACAAAAGGATTCCTTGTGAGGAAAGCGAAAACAGAATGTTCATCAAGAGGATTTATTCAAGTTAAATTTAAGAGTCTTTGTTAATCTCAGAATAATTTCCAGAAATTAAATAGATCTTGCACATGTTTCTGAGACTTTTGTGATTTGTTCTCCATTTGAAATAAATTTTTAGATTTTTTTCAGATCAGTAAAATTATTGTACTGGGGAGAAAATAATACCTTCTTAACAGTCCTGTAAACAGTTGATCAATCCTGAAACGTTCCCCACCAGTATAGGATAGGGACTATAATGTGTGTTGCTGAACTACAATCTTTCTTCCAAAGATGTAAATCACCGAGTCATGTCTTGAGTTTTTAAAAATATAATAATCCTCGACAACTCTTCCTCTAGAAACATAACATGGCAAGAGGCTGTCTTCTTAAAAAAGGAGGATCTTTTCTTTCCTCCAGGAAACCTGTGGAGCATGCCACATTTTTACTCAGAAGAACAAGAGTTGCTCTACTTAACTACTAACTGTATAATCATAACAAATAATTTCACTGTACAGATTCCTGTCGATCGTGTTCATTTTGTGGTTCATTATGGTTGTTTAAGTCTTGCAGCTCATTGTGCTCAGTTGTATCAATCTCTTCTCGTGGCTCACTATTTTCAGTTGTATCAATCTCTTCTTGTGGCCTGTTAGTGCCTGTTGGCTCAAGTTGTTCTTGTTGTTCTATACTTTCATTTGTATCTTTAGACTCAATTTGTTCACTTGCTTTTGGTTGATCCTAAAAAAAGAAACACACACACACAAAGTGAGTCACCCCTAACAACTAATTCATCTCCAAAAGTAAATGTCACCTTTCCCTCAATTGACTTTGAAATGGATACCTCACAACCAACTACCACCAGGAGTTTTATCGGTGACTCTACCACTTTTAAAATAACACAATACTCAAAAGAGTATGTTAAGAATGCATGGGTTTCAGCACTTCTACCACAGATTTTGGGCACAGTTTAGCTTACACCTACCCTGATTGAAAAGCTACATATACTCTTTTACCTATTAAGTAACCCTGCTGATCAGGGAGGAGAAGAAAGTATCTAGCTCATTTCAAGCAGATTTGGAAGCCAGGCTGGATCCCAGGGGATAAAAAGCTATGATCCTGTTTGGCCTCACAAATAAAATGAGCTAGGGTTAACCAAAACAAAGCTTTTAATGTCTGGGGACTTCACTGCTGCATCATGAGCTTTTAACGAGTAACAAGATCTATTTTGCCCTCTGTTAACCTCCACAGTCACGTTGTAGTCCTGAGAGCAGATCTATTTTAGTTTTTCTATTCGTGGTTTCTTCTGTACTCAAGGGCAAGATGCTCCATGGCAACATGGCCAATCAAGCTTAATATCAGCTCCTAACTTTTCTACCGCACCTTTTCTCTGACATCTCAACCTCTGTAACGAAGACTGTGACTTGACAAATGTACCTTCCTTCTCAGCTACCTGACACAGTTAACTCTAATTGTTAAAACTAGCTAAGATAATGCTCTAACTTCTCTAAACTTAAAGGACTTCACTAAATCTCACTAAGTGCAGCTTCCCCTGCTGGTTTCCACAGCTCTCACAGAAGTGATTCACATGTAACTTCTCCCCATAATATTGATACATCATCCAGCAAACAGGTAATGAGAATACTCAAACTTAACAGGAAGAAGTTGTCCTGATGAAACACCAAATTTTCATTGCTTAATTACAAGGCAAGATGTAGCAGCTAGAGAAAAGAATTAACAATAAGATCTTGGGAGTTTAAGGGTTAACTAACAAGAGTGGGTGCTAGCTGTAAACTATGAGGCCCAAAATGCATCAGAATGCCACTTCACAGAGGTTTCTTTTCTTTACTAAAATTTCGACAACATTTATATATAACAACAATACCCCTGTGTGTCTGTATGGGTTCCAAAAGTGCTGCTATGCGAACTATTTAATTATTACTTTTAACTGAACTACAGTATTGCAAAGTACTAGTCTAAACCAAATGCATTCCAGTCACTTACTCTTTCATTGTCATAATGTTTTGTTTCACCATTTTCCTCCATCTCTTCCCGTTCTTCTTCATTGCGTATCTTGTCTGTGGAATTATTTCGGTTGCCATAATTTTCATCTCCTATTTCTTCATCAGCAACCTCTTCAGCTGGCATTTGATCAATGGGTTTGTCTTCTATTGTTTCTTTAAAAAGAAGGAAAGATTTTTATAATTTTACAATACAATGTAACATGTAATGTAAAGCTGGGAACATTATGGTACACCACATCATCTCTGAATGTTTTAAATTCAAACTCAGGCAAAACTGCACACACAACATGCAGGACAAGACAGCTGAGACATACAAAATGTACTACTCGAGGTTGGATACACATCAAAACAAGTAACATTTGTGTCAACCTTGTATTCAAATAGTGTCCGTGACATTAGAAACTAGTTTGTTGTGACAAAAGCATCACAATGAGCTTGTTGATAGGTTCATGACAGATTGGTACCAAAATATGATGGCTGATTTAGGGTCATTGATGGTGAGATCGGAGTTGCTAGTGAGTTGGAAAAATAAATAGTGTATATCGAACGAGTGTGATTGCTCCTCACAAGATCACTTATAGTTAACAAATTAAAGTAAACAGGGCGTCACCTCTATCATCTTGGATTTCTCTGGCATCCTCTCTGTTCTCGCCACTAGCTTCATACACTGATGGCTTCCCTGCAAAGAGAAAAAATGTCCATATCAAGCAAGAGAATGAATTGAGTTATATTAAAGGCTACCAGCACCAAGTTGTTTGAAGCATGATTTGCACAAATTCAGAAGTAACTGATATGGTAACACATTGTTCACTGAACAACTCACTCCAAGTGAATTTGTTGACCACATAAGCTTGTTGGTTTTTTTTGCTTAAGTTCAAGAGGGGGACAAAGAGGAGGCTTTCCAAACTTGAAGTCCCAGAGGGAGGATAATCAGAGAGGGAAATGAAACAAATATTTTAAATTCACAATTTATATATTAGTGCTTATTGCAAGCCTCCAAGCACTGTTAAGAGAGAGAAACAAATATTTTGAGTAACATATCAAAAACAAGTGCAAGTGCTTGAAAATCCCAACTATCAGGACCCAGACCAGTTGGCTATTTACAGGGTACTGCCCAGGAGTTGAATTCCAGACAACCAAGAACAAATCCAGTGAGTAGCAGGGTGTATTACTTGAACCCAGGACCACCAGGTAACAAGTTTGGCACCCTAACAGGAAGGCTCATCAGAGTGTTCAGATAACTTGCATCAACATATTTGAGTCATTTTTAGCATCCCTGAGAACTTTCTTAAACTATAATACAATGCTAGAATAAACAAAAGTCAAAAGGAAAAAGAAATTGTTTAACCAGGACAAACATTACTACTAGCTGCTAATCACACACTTGAAAAATCTTTCCTCAATTTCTAGCATGCTTATTGACCAATTGAGTTTTTAGACATACCATTATCTGCACTATCTTTTCTGCCAAACACAAAATTATCAACTGGAACACCATTGTCTCCAAGAACATTAGCAACCTGATCCTTTAAAGTTTCCTCTATTGGTATATCCTCAATCTCTGATTCATGTGGAGAGTCACTTCTTTCCGTCACATGGCCTCTCACTGGCTCATCATCTCTAAGAGACTCAGCTAGAGTATCTTTCAAAGAATCAAAAGGAGAAAATGGTTCTGGTTCATCTCTTGTTGCCATGTATGGGGGCAGACTGTTCACCTGCTGAAAAAAAATTTAATATTGTTAAGTACACATTAGTGATGATTTACAGTTAATACCCAATTCTGGGTGAACCATACAGTCAGATGTTTAGCCTGGCAAAAGATTGAACTTGGAGTATCAATATTTGTATCAGATCTCTGCCAGATGAGGTGCACCAATGGAGCCTCTAAATTATAGGCACTGTAATAAAATGTTTATTTACTAATCATGTGTACAAATCACAGCCAGTTAATCGTTTCAGGACTAAATGAGTTAAATTATCTTTGTGCTGTGTCTGATCTCATTGTTTTACCAGGTACTGAAAAAAAATATTCACCACAGTGTTGGTGGCTGGTGGTGGATACATACCCTGCTGTGCTTCATGGCTCAGTAAATATCCACTACTAGCCACCTCCACTTTGGTGGATAGTTGTTGATTGCACCCATGAATTGGGAAGTTTGAAAGTGATTAACAAGTATTATTTACCTTTTAGTGGCAGAAGAGGCAAAAATTGCATATCAGTACTTCAATTTCTAATTATTTTTCGGTATATTGCAAAAAAAATAAAGGTTCATTTTTGGTGTCTGTGTGGTATATACTAAAACAGGACGTAGTCCATGTATTCACCTCAGTGTCACTGAAAGTGGTGGACATCATGTACGTCAACTTCAGTGAATAATTAAATGTTATTTGACTTGCACTCTACAGCTGATTCAAGTAATTGATTTTACTCACAGGCTCCTCATTGTCGGCCACAAGTGACTTCTTTTTTGTGGCTCGTTTAGCTGCTCCTCTCTGAATGAAAACATTTAAATTACACTCATTAACTTCAATAAACAATGTTATCAATTTCGAATTATCAATGTAGCTGTTTTCCAATTTTATATGAAATTCATTTCATATAAATATATATTTAAGGGCTAGTCATTCATGATGGTCATGTCATAATGATCAAAACATATTAAACAATTTCCTCACTTCTGAAAGGAAGAGGGTACAATTTAAGATGGAATTCAAAAAAAAAATTGGGGCTTTGTATCCAACATAATTTTACAAAGACCCTGAGAAACAGTGCACACTCTAAACCCAAAATGTTTAAGTTAACCTTACTTTACTGGGGGGTTTTCTTTCTATTCCTTTGGCTTTGGTTGAGGTTCTGTTGGAAAACAAATAATCATCAGCCGTGAAGTAAGTTTACTTTTAAAAATTAAACTTAAGTCAATTCACAATGTGAAATGTATTAATTCTTAACACTAAAAACTGATTAACAAGTGAACTTGACACAAATATGATTTTTAATCATGTTTCTCTTAAGAATGTCTCTACATATATCTTATCAGCTACATTTGATCCATGTTTGTCTTTGAGTTCCTTGATTCAAAGACTAATAACTATTTTTTCTTTTTTTTTATCATCTTTCCTCAAAACAAATATAATTATTGTTATCTTACAAATAAATATATTTACATGTGTGTAACCCAATGACCACTATGGAAACCTAAGAATAAACCTTTCTTAATTTATTTAACCAATTCTTAAAATAACTGTGGTTGTGAAAAAAGAAATTGTGAAAGAAAAATCCTAAATAAATGATTATTGCACCTTCTTGGAGTTAACTGGGCTGCTACTCCTTGGTCACTGTAGGTAACACTTCTATCAAAGCTGAAATGAAAGTCCAAAGAACATTAAGGGTGAATTATTATCATAAAATTTGTATGTAAAGGAATATGATGGGAACGTAATTAGTTTTTCTTTGGAAATATTTTGACTGAATTATTCAGCCTTCATCAGTCTGTTGGTTACATAGAAGTAAACTATATAATCAATTGCTCAGCCCACTGATAGGAGTATGGTTTTGTAGATCTTGGTATGGAGGCCAAGGGAGTTAATTGAAATATTTCAAAGGAAAACCACTTGCAATCCAGTCAGATTCTTCTACAAATTATGTGTTCAGAACATGGAATGAACCTTTTTGCTTCAAGTCACAATCATGATAATCAAGGAAAATTACAGACTCATCCCACCAACCAAGTAATTGATCTTTAAGTGTCTAGAAATGCTCTTTTAAAACTGGAAGTACTTCCTGGAACACTTTAAATTCCAAAACAATAATTATGAATAATTTCACAATTACTCATCATAATTCACTTGTTGCACAATACAGTCAGCTCCAACTCTGATTTCCACTTTTTTAAGCATTCTTTTCTATCATGGAAAATGGATCAGCACTTTGATCCCAGTGGGTGACTAGCATCTAATTTCTCCATTCAATATCACCCCTGAATCAAACATTTAAGTCAAGAGAATAAAGGATTTTGATCACAAACCAAAGATACTATTGATTGTTCAAGAAATTCTCCTTGTCAGCACCATAGGAAATGTATAGAGAACAGTATGGAGTATAAACTTACAGATGTTCTGTTGTGAAAGGTTAAACAGATACATCATTAAAGAAGAAGTTAGACTAAACATACAATCGTTCTCTCCCAACAGCAACATATTGTCCAGAATCATTCAGCTGTGATGGTTCTGATATCTTTTGACCATCTAAAGTATACAGACTGAAACACAAACATAAATATTAGAAAGATGATTGAATATTATCTGAGTGATCAAGTAAGTGATGTGCGTAAATGATATTAAGAAAGTTGACAGTCTTCACACATTCATTCAATTTAGAGAAACAAAATTGCATTTAAAACTTTGCCAGAGGATTATTTTTGGCTGACTTTCAACTGAGGTTGATGTTGGTGCTGATCTAAAGTTTTTTTGTTACCATGTCAGGCAAAAAAGTAACAGAATCCAACTTACAGTGTTTTTTTTAGTAGATATCATTGATCAATGAACAAAGTAATCCTTCAACAGACACTGGTTTCATGTAGAGCTTATTTGGAAGTTTCAAAGAGATTTGAAAATTGACCTTTTTTTCTTCCTTTTTTTTTAACAATTCTTTTGAGTGCACAAACACGTCTAGAATTAATAGCCACACTCTTAACACTGTTCAAGACTACCTACATGTAATTTACTAAAGCAATGAAGACTTACTCATAAACTGCACCATTCTTGCTGACTGAGCTCACTTTATCATTCACAGACTCTAAGACCTTAATCATATTCAAGGAAAAAAAGGGCTTTTGATTATCGCAATCAACTAACCACTGGTAAGATTAAAAGGTGAAATATGCTTCAGAAATATTTACCTATAATCTCTGCCATCAAGAAATAACATATTTACAACTACCTGGCTTTAAAAGTGCTTAAAAATTTTAGTATGGATAAGACCATTTTGAAATCAACTCTGCACTCCAGAAAGACACTCTGAAATTCCTAAATTCATAAGCTTTCCATCCATTAAATCTGGAAAGTCAAGGTTCCATTATTTTATTCAGGGTAGGGCCTTAACTGGGTTGTGCAAAGCTGGGTGAATATAACCCAGGGTTAGTGTGAAACTTGATTTCAGATCTAAAAGATTTAAAAGAAATTCGTTTTAATTATTTTTCCCTACAATTTGATGATTGGTTGTTGTAAAAAGGATAGAGAAAATTATCCCAAAAAGAGGGTATTAGCACTAATCCACCTTTGAACAACTCGGCCCAAAGGTCATTTCTTGAAAGTCAATAACTTTATGGGCCCAAAGCCAAATTTTTAAGATCAAAATTTAAAGCATAGAGAAGCAGTTCTATCACCCCCTCAAGTACAATATTTTTCTTTAGCTTATGGTTTTATTTTATAGTTTTCAAAACCTTTAAAGCACCCATTTTGTATTAAAACAGAACAGCTTTAAATTACCAGAACCTTCAAGGGGCAGGCCCCTGATCTCCTTATTAAATTGACCTACATATGTTTTCAAAATCTTTTACTCCCAAAAGCAACCAAGGCAATATCAATACAACATCCAGCAGACAAGTAACAAGAATAGAGAAAACTAGCAATTAGGAGATTACTGACTGATCGAATACAAAGTTCTCCAAACAAACATCATAATAATTGTATGGCAGATAGTAAGGAGAATTACTAAAATGAGATCTTGGAAGTGAAAAGGTTAAATCATATTTTGCACATGATGTGATTTTTGGAGTATTCACCTCACCTGAAACATTTTAAAGTCTGTTCGCAACTGGACTCTTTTTGGTTTGGCCACAACTCCATTGCAAAAAACACTGTTATAATAAAACATTACATATTACATTAATCATTGTGACATGAATATGAATGGTTTAACACCCACACAACAATTGAGCATTAAGAACATCTGCTTAATTTGTCCAAAACATAATTCTACATATATTTTATATTCTGCGTTAAATCATTTCACATTAAACCAAAGAGAAAAAGTTCTTCAGGGGGAAAACTCAAGGCATATGTGCCTCACTCAAGCATAGTAACAGGGCTCAAAGTACTTTATTTCAAATGGTCCTCATTGTTTATTTAAATTTAATTCAGAATACCTCTGTTCAGGTTACTAAAATGGAATAGAACACTTTTGAATAATTGACAGACACATAGCCTCTAGTAAGATGCTGACAAAAGTATTGCAAGGGAGCTCTGCAAGGGGCTATGCTATGCTATGAAAAACACCCAGTACAGCTGCTCGAGTGCATTGTCAGAGTCACACTTGGTACCCTCTACATAACCTGAGTCCAAGAGTTAGATGGAAGCTAGACATGAGAACTCAAACCACTTCCAAATGAAAAAAACAATGCTGTGTAAAAGAATGGTCATGAGCCTTTTGCAACTGATTTGGGGACTGCACTGAAAAAGGGGGAGTGCCTATTGATGAAAAAAGAAGAAAACAGTGTGGCTCCAAGTTTCAATCCTTTGTCATACATATTAACTGTCCACTGGTTCACCTTTTACAAGCTGGGTTTCAAATCATGCTAAGTTTGAAATAATTCATTACAAGGACATTATTTACCGAGAGCTGCAGTACTTACATGATGGTTTTTATCTCTTCCTTTTTCCGTAGACCGCTTACCCTCGCTCTGCCCGGCACGTTTCCAAATTTGCGATGATTTAGCTCGAGGAAATTTACCTGTTAACGAAACATAATCACGAAATGACAGTCACACCCTCAAACAATGAGAGACGTGTACATGAACAACTCATTGAATAAATTCTGTGAAGTATACTCTGGAAAATACGACCAGCCTATTAATCCTTTCACGATTTCAAAATTGACGTTTTTTGAGTCTTTATTTGAATATAACTCCTTAGCAATTGGGTTAAATATTTATTTAAACATTTAAGCGTTTAATTATTCATGCATCGTAAGCTCACTTCGATACCAAATTTGTTATTGAACTCACTCGGCATAATTAGGGCTCTATCGTCTCCATGAATAATAGAGAAGATCAACCTATCAAACTCTGAACAATTGATAGTTGCTTTGAAAAAATAGATTGTGATCGAATGTGCGATCATTAAAAAATAGTACAAAAATATCTAACACAATATTTGTCTTTAATTGCCTTTATCACTGCACGACAAAGTATACAAAATATGACCTAGATTAGATTTTAACTGTATGTTGACGCGTTTTGAACATATCTTACCTCAGGTCCTTTGAGAGGCGGTAAACGGTTGGGCCTCGAGTCTTTCACATCATATCTGAGAAAATAAAGCGCAAACAGACTATCATTATATGGAGAGTTTGCATTTGTGAACAAAGATCAACCAAATGACACTTGATGAAGAATTACTCCACAAACACGAGTCTGATCGCGCCATCGCAAACAAAAATCTTACCCAATTTTTTTAAACGGCTCTCTTCCCTTAACGACATAAGTGCAGTCTCTCTGTAGGTCGTCAAGCGTTCTGATTCGATGTCTTCCACCTGGAGTCCTTATTTCTCGAGCTGGTGTACGAAAACTAGCTGCCACAGTATTTAAGAAAGATTCAAAGCTTCGCATGTCTCTGTGATTGACAACAATACGCTTTCTCTTATAACTGTCCCCGTTGAGATGTACGAAAACCGGCTTTCCCATCATATTTATCCCTCTCTCTTGAGCAGCCATGATCCTGGAATCCTATTTTACCTCACTTAGAACTTCTAATTAAGTTTAAGACGAGAAGAACACTATTAGGTAAGACATGGTAAAATCACTCACAGTTCACTGAGCTCTCTGTGACCTCAGTAATTGTCGACGTGCACATTATGGGGTGTCACATGATTTGTTTACCCTGGTGACGTACATAGTAACCAAATCGTCATTAGTGTCAAATTAAAAACTCATTTATCCTGCTGAAGACTTGGATTTTTCGTGAATGACCCGTGTAGTTTTATAAAGAAAAGCAAAAGTAAAAAAACAAATACTCGTTGCTAGTGACAAAGGGGTGCGAGAGTAACCGAGATTAAATGATCATCTGCATTCAGACTCGACTACGAATTTGCGTTCTGATTTGATTTGATAATGAACAAAGAGCCATTTTGCGTGGGTCTAACCATCGGCCACCTTACGTGGGCTGTACTCCGTAAACCATTTTTTTTTCAAAGGATAAAGAAAAACAATCTCTTTCTCTTTTCTGAAGAGTTGGATCTTCAAGTTATAAATTTCGTGTGTTTCTATTATTGTAAGAAGTGGAACTTGCATTGTTCATGAAGGCCTCGCGTAATGTTGTTTGTTTTACGAATTTATTCTTAGTGAACCAAAAGAGTGCATTGGTAATCTTAAATTGAATCGAAGAAGCTGACCCGGCAGGGAGAGGAGACATCAAATATCCGAGAGAAAATTGAAAAACAAAATTAACCGTAATATGCATCGGAACTACGAGAATTAGTACAGTATATTGATAAATCATGTTCGTTAATATATTTAGTTAATCATTCTTCTCAATTATCGGTACTTTCCTACAGGGTTGACCCGATTGGCTTAACATTAAAGGCAAAAAAGCTAAAAAAATGCCTAGATGAGTTTTGGTAATACAGCCAATACATGACATCGAGAGTTCTTGAACACTTTTCAAGAACTCTCGATGTCATTTATTTTTGGGGCTAAAACAAGTGGATGAATAAAATAATATTGCAAATAACTCATGCTGTCTGTGGTAGTCATATATAAACGCATCTAAGCATAAAGCTAACGGGACACGAGGGACATTCTTTTTCAAAGGTGGTTCTCAGTCATTAATTAAGGTTTCCGAGCATGCGTTTTTGTGTGAGAGTTTTAATTTTTATTACTGCAAGTCTACTCGATAGTAACGAGAAACGTGTCTTCCTAGAGTTTATAGAAAAGAAACAATAATGTTCATTACTCTGCGTTCCACAAAAAATGATTACACAAGCTCGTTCAAACGTACTGTAGCACACAAACCTTTTATAACATACTTTGTATCTATGTACATGTTTTTATAGAGTCTAATGCCATCATCAGCCCTGGCCAGAGTCGCCCTCAGAACTGACTCCCGATTATCCTCAACAATTTATTCTACAAATAATTTAAAATTTATTAAATCCATAATCGTTGAAGTCTGATTGATTCCCAGCAGTGCGATTTATTCAAAAATTTTTGGCATTGATTGTACCTTTTTCTCAGCTAATGACAGGAGCCCATCAAGTAATGGGCTCCTGCCAATGAAAGAAAACAACCAATAAGATTTCAGATTTCAGCGCTGTACAAATTATGCGAGAACAAAAGTCGCACTAATTTCTTTTTTCCTTCTTATTACTCATCAATGTA